GCAATGCGCTGGCTATTATTCCGTGAGATCAAGGTGATGCAATGGTTATCCTACAGACTAGATCCAAATCCCATTGAGAGAGAGTATTCGGGGTATATTTGCTCTCCAGGTGTATGCGTAGTCCATGGCAAATCAGCCAAGGAGAGAAACAGTCATTCAACGAATAGGTGGGTGGATGTTGACCAAAAGGACAATCACACGTTTTTTAAGATGTATTGAGATCCTCAAGCAGAATGACGCTCTCACACTATTTCAAGTAATGACCATTACAACCAATGTGAGGAGTTTCGCGCAATTTTATGATTTAATTAGCGCATCATAAATTATTTTGTTGTCAAATTTTATGCTCTGCATCGATGTTCGGATCAGATGGGGAAATATATGAGAGTACTGCACTTTTGCTACACACTGTATTTCATACATGCTCTGCTAAACAAATCATGATACAAAACGCTTTGTACAAAGCAACCAGTTCATCATTTGCTCATTCGCTTATAATGACTAGTCGGATTTAATAAATTCGGTAAATTTGTATTAAATTCATAGTTACTTGTGAATAGCGGTGCGGAATAATTGATACTGATTTTATTTCAAATCAAAATTAGGTAAACCTTTTACATTCCATCACCGGTTTTAAGTTTCAAAGTATCATTTTTTTATATCATCGTCAACACGGCAAAATGGCGACACCTTTTCCTAAACGTCTTCGTCGACAAAAAGAACATGTATTTAAATGTGACCAGGAGGAGTCTGAAATGCAACGGCTATCTTTTCTGATCAAGAGTGAAGCAAGGGGGTTGGTTTCCCTTTATGTAAGTCAGTTTTTTTGGGACCAAGACATGTAAATCTATGTGGCGTCTAATCAAACTACTCTACAGACAGAAGGAGGTGACCTCCAATTGTTCTATTGATATTGAACAACTAAATGCTGCATTTATTCATTCTTCACCCGTCACATGTCCCAGTTATATGGATTCGAGTTCCCCGAACACCACATGTTCCTTTGTACCCATTACCTTTAGTGAAATGTTTAAGCACACGTGTTCTCTCAAGGTGTAGACCGCATGGTCCAGACAACTTAAGTCCCATCCTTCTTAAACACGGTGATATGTCACTGTCTCACATTTTTGCACACACAGCTAATCTTTCACTCGAACTCCGAACTATTCTTGATTTCTGCCGTCCAGTGAGAAGTACTCATCTCCGTAAAGGAACTTCAAAGGCCCCAATAGCGAAGCGTTGCAGACCAATTGGTCTCATCTCCACTAGTGTGAAATTGATGGAGCGGTCAGTTCCGCATCGTCTTCAGTTATCTCTCTCTAACCCCGATGACACTTATCAGTTTGCATACAAACATAACCACTCTACATTGGATACTGTTTCTTCTGTAGTTCACTTCATTTGCAAGTCCCTAAATGGGAAAGCCAAATATGTGGGCTGTGCATTTCTTGATTACTCTTCCGCTTATTTTCCATGTTTAACTGTCTCACTCACTTTTCCCCATGTTCTGTATCCTAATCCACCTATCCCCTTCACTGTTATTGTTGTTGCGTTGGCACCATGCTTGTTTTCAAGCCGGTGGTAAATATATATATATATACTCTTCCGCTTTTGATTCAGTTCCCCGTTCTCTTTTGCTTAACAAACTCCAATTGTTTGACTGTCCCAATACTCTTCTTGAATGGCTTGATGATTACTTTTCGCAAAGAAATCAGTATGTTAAATTTGGAAGAAGACAGTTAAAGGTATCATTCAACAGCTCGCGTGTACTTCAAGGTGCTGTCTTATCACCATATCAATTTGCGACTTATATAAGTGACTCAACTATTACTTCCCCTGTTCAACACTTTAAGTATGCTGATGATATCGCCATCTCTATTTCCGTATCCAGCCAACCAGAAGTGGCTGCATCTAACACTAACTTATTCCATCTCGTTAGGTATTCCATTTTATGCGGTCTTAATCTTAATCCCGAAAAATGCATTGAATGTATTTTCATTCTAAACCGTTTCCCACCTCCCTGTGATAAATGACAGGTTCATGGAAAGCCGTGTGAAGTACTTAGGCGTCACACTTGAAAGTAAACTTCGCGGGTCTTCAACTACCCAAACGATTGTTCTCAAGCTGAAAGCTCTCTCCTTTCAAATTAAAACACTGCTCCACTTCTGTTCTGACATGTCAGTGATAAGAGCTTTTGTTCAACATTGTGTTCTCCTTATACTCCTGTACTGCTCCCCAGTGATTTTCCCTGGTTTGTTGAGGGCTGATTTCAAGTTGCTGAGGCGTAATCTCTTATTGGTCAGCCGTATTTCCCAAGTTTCGTTATCTGTTCTGATTGAAAAAAATGCTCATATTGATGCGTGCCTGAAGTTTTTGCTGACAATAATCTATCTGATTGCACCCGTTCTTTACACGTTGACTGGTGTGCATGCAAGTCCCATCTCGCGACCCGTTCCAAACACAAACACATCCCATCTCGGATATTTGTATACAGAAACTCTTTGGTAACTCATCTTGCCCGGATACTGACCGACAAAGAGAGTGTTCGTTCTGAGCTTTCTAATGCGTTTAGTAGTCAGTTCACATTATTGCATGTTTGATGGCCCACTCTTCCTCCTTTTTGCCAGTATTGTGGCGGTGGTCCGTGTTTTGGATGAAAGTTTGTATATAACCCGCTAAAGCTTCAATACAACACATCACAATACAATACAATACAATACAATCAGTCCATATGAACGGGAAAAAAATTAAAGAATATTGCCATTATTCACCTGCAGAAACACCCAATCACCGGATTTAGCAGCCAAATTGATCAATTTCTCCGCAGTCGGTCCTTGCCCCTGACCCAATGAGACCGAGTGCACACGATCTTGATAGTTTCGTTCTTTGGCAAACCGTTGAAATTGTAGCATCGGATCGGAACCGGGTGAGAGAATGAACACGAGCGGAGTGATATAGTCCATTTCTTGGAACAGAACAGGCAAACTGCACTCGGGGGCCTCGATAAATTCTGGACCCAAACTGACACTGACAAAATCGGTCACGGCCCGCACGACTTGTTCTTCGTAGAACGTGCCAATCAGAAGCAATTTCTGAAAATTACTTAGTCGTGTATTGTAGTCCGCAGATGGCAATTCAATATTGTCCGGGGTGAGTTGATAATGCATCTGTTTGATGGAGGCCAGGCTTAATCGATGCGCGGCACTCGGGGCCATTGCATGGGAGAAATCGACGGAAATGTAATTTTCCACCAGATCGGTCGTTAGCGAGCCAAACTGATTGGGAAAGAAGTGAGCCAGATCGGTCAGACGATTCCACTGACGTGTACTGAGCCATGATTTGGTGGCTGCCGGCTGGTCCGGTCGAACTCTTTCAACCGCATTGGATCCGAGCAGGAAATGGGACCATTCGGATGCACTGATCTCGCCCGACTGGCGAAGAATTTGTGCGCATAACATGAACGAGAAAACTAATTTATCTCGCTCGAACAATCCTCGGGCCACATTATTGTAAGTCGCTATAGTGGTTCGATCTAGAAGAATTTGTATTCGTTCTTCTAGGGTACTGGCCTCGGGACTTTTCTGAATTGTCGCGTTGAATAGCTAAAACGAAGATGGTTCGTACGTAGAAATTCGATGAACGGAGTGTGAGCGGATCTGTTAACCGGATGTATAAACCAATTCTAATCTGTTTGCACAGAAAAATTGCAAATGAAATTCATTGAACATGGGGCGGGGACGGGGTTTAAAGGAACTGAAAGTGAGTGAGAAGCATGCAAACCCTTATGTTTGTCAATTCGCATAGAATTATTAAAACGACCATGTTTAATTACTGTTACTTTCAAATGAACTAACAGATCGTGAGTGTTACTGCTAATCATAATCATATGTTAGTGGACACTTATCGTGTAACTGAGGGGGCGGGAGGGGGGGGTTCAGCTTGCAACCCGAAAGTTCACGGTTCGAGTTCCCGATAGGAAAGTAAAAATAATGTACAATACTGATGAGCTCTAATACGGAACGTTGAAGATATCTGATTTATTGATCTTCGTCCTAGAATTCCTCTTCTGTTTCCAGTCCAAAACACATTTCATGTGGATTTATTTATCCCAACAGAGTGATTTCCTTATGTGCCTCTGTGCGATCGATCAGCCACAACAATGTACGTGACAAATACTTAGCTAGCACGAACGTGAACCTATACTATGTTGATCACCCCCGATCCGTTTCCCGTGGTGCTACTCTGTGCGACTGGACAACGGAGTCAACAATAAACATTTCAACCTCACGACCAAACAGTCCCGTGTCATTTCATTCAACCAGTTCCCTTTAACAGTTTCATGAGAACAAGAAGAAGTATCACAGGATCACAGGATGTGGGTTGAATTCAACTATTTCGTGGTAATCTCATCAGCTGTGTACACATACAATCGGATCATGTTTGGTTAAAAGAGTGACAAGTTTGGGGATAGACGAACACACACGGGGAAGAGAAATTAATCAATACAAAGGCCAAAAGTCACTAATATGAACCAGATTGGACATTGGGGTAGGGAGCGTGGAA